GTAATATAAAGTAATTTAGGCCCAATTTGGTATAAAAATACACCTTAACAATTTAAAAGATTAGCAATCATATAATATCTCTTCTTAGATCACAGTGAATTAAAGAAAAAATGGGTAAAGATAAGTTAGCTGGAAAATTCCAAAATACTAGAACAGTATACCTCTAAATAATTCATGAGTCAAAGAAGATCTCAATAGCAGTTAAAAAATATTTTGGACTAAATGATATTACACCCACAATTTGTTAAAATTTGAGTAATCAGTGAAAGTAGTGTGTAGAGAGAATCTTATAGAATTGAATGCATATATATGTAAAAAAAAGAAAGAAAGATGCAACATCAATGATCTAAGCTTCCATGATAGGAAACCATGAAAAGAAGACTAAATTAAATCCCAAGTAGTTTGAACACAGAGAAATAACAGAAATGAGAGCAATAAATCAATGAAATTATAAACAGATCAATAGAAAAGAACAAAAGCAAAAGCTTGTTCCTCTAAAAGATCAATGACATTGATATGTCTCTATTCAGACTTAAAGGAAAGAAGAAACAGATTACTAATATCAGGAATGAAATAGAGAACATCACTACTCGTATCTGTTAGAAGGATAATGAAGGAAGACTGTAACAACTTCACTCTTACAAACTTAAAAATCAAGTGAAATGCACCAATCTCTTGAAAGACTGTCTGCCAAAATTCACCCAAGATGAAACAGGCAATCTGAGTAACTCTATGTCTATTTAAAAATGGAATTGGTCACACATAATATTCCAAAACAGAAAACATGAGGCCCAAGAAGTTTCACTGTTGACCTATTATCAAATATTTAAGGAATAAATTACACTAAAATTTTACAATCTCTTTCAGAAGACAGAAGCAAGAGGAACACTCCATAACCCATACTCAGACCAGCATTACCCATGTAAGAAACCAAACAAAGAGTTTTAAAGAAAACTAAAAACACAATACCATTTATATTAGCAACTTCTCAAGCAAAATATTTAGGGATATTTAACAGAATATATACAAGATCTATATTAGGAAAATCTAAAAACTTTCATGATAGCAGTCAAAGAACTAAATAAATGGAGAGCTATTACATGTATGGATAGGAAGACTCAATATTACCAAGATGTTAATTATTCCTAACGTTTAATGTAATAACAATGAGAATTAATATTTTTTGGTTATCAACAAACTGATTCTAAAATTTATGTGGAGAAGAAAAAGACCAAAAACAGACAACACAATGTTCATGTAAAAATAAAGTCAGAATATGAACACCCCAACATCAAAGCTTATTAGAAAGCTACAATAATTAAGACAGTGTGGTATTGGTGGAAAAAAAAACCCAGACAAATAGATCAATGGGACAGAATAGAGAATCCAGAGAAAGACCCACATATATGTAGCTAACTGATTTTTAACAAAGGAATAAAAGCAATACACTGGAGAAGACAGTCTTTTCAACAAATGCTTCTAGAATAGCTGGTCACCCATGTAACCATGCCCCCATTCAAATAATCTAGATATAGAGCTTACATCTTTTGAGAAACTAACCTAGCATAGATCATGAGCCATTTTAGGAGGCAACCCTCTAAAACTCGAAGAAGATAACATAGGAGAACTTCTAGGTAACTTTGGCTTTGATAACAGCTTTTTAAATACATTAATAAAATCAAGAAATGATAAGCTTGATTTTTCTAAAATTAAATTTTACTCCTATGTGAAAGGCAATGCCAATAGAATATAAAGGTAAGCCACAGACTGGGAGAAAATATCTAAAAAGATGTATCTTTTAAGGGACTCTTATCTAAAATATACAAGAAACTCTTAAAGCCCAAGAGTAAAATGACACATAAAAGATTATAAAATGGGCCAAAACCTTAATGGACAGCTCACCAATTAATATAAACAGGTCCTAAAGAATCATATGAAAAAAATGGCCAACATCATATGTCACCATGGAAATGCAAACCAAAGCAATGAGACACCACTACACATCTAGCAGGATGGCCCCAGTCCAGAATTCTGACAATACCAAATATTGTTGAGCATGTGAAGCAAAGAAACTCTCTCTCTGCTTGTGGAAATGTGAAATGGTACATCCACTTTGGCCTATAGTTTGCTGGTTTCTTATAAAACTAAATTTACTCTTATGATATGATCCAGTAATTATATTCTCTACTATTTTCCTGGAGTTAAAAATATACACAAAATCCTACACATGGATATTATAATGGCTTTAATCATAAAAAGAAAGAAGCTAATCTAAAGAGTCTACCACCATACAATTGCAACAATGTGAAATCCTGGAAAAGATGAATCTATGGAGACAATTAACAAATTATAGATTATGTTTAAGGTTGGGGAAGAGGTATGAATCAGAACATGAAATCTTTAGGGCTGTGAAATTACTCTGCATGATACCATAGCGGTGAATATGTGCCATTATATATTTGTCCACCCCTGTAGAATTACCCACACCAGGAGAGAGATCCCTAATGTAAGTATCTGTATCTCCTTTTGGTGGTTATAATTCTGTTTGTAGACACAGCTATATTAGTTGTAACAAATGTACTGTTCTAGTAAGGAATGCTGATAATGGGGCAAGTTGTACATGTGCAGGGACAGAGAATATACTGGAAATCCTGTATCTTCCTCATATTTTTCTGTGAATGTAAAACTGGTCTAAGTAATAAATGACTTTTCACTGATGGTCAATTGACCATCAACTGTGTTGTTACAAATCACCCTGAATATATATCAGAAAAGTGTGAGAGCATTTTATTGGGAATGGTAGTTCCCTTTCAAAGAATATCGCAAGCTGCGCTATGCACAAAGTTTCTGATATAACTGCAAAAAGCAGCCTTTCTTTTAAGCTGCCCAACACGGTGCCTGATATGTGGAGATAGTCAGTGCATCACAGTTATTCCTGTTCCAATTAACCATGTGACCAGAGGACCACTGTTATGGACTTAGGCCTCTGAAACCAAACAGTCTTAAATATGTATTAGAGGAAAAGAGCCGAAGCATAGATAATGCACAGCAGGGGAAAACTCAAAGGAAAAATCAGGACATAGTTTAAGAAAGAGCAACTGTCTGTTCTTGCAGCTGAATTAAATTATGGTCTGTCATATTCAGTCAAAATTACTTAGTGACTATTCCCCATGTACATACCAGTTCTTGTTAAAGAACAGAGAGAAGAGGCTTTGGTTTTTAAATTTTCCCTAAGGCTCCAGTAGAAAATGTATGCAATTAAGTAGTCAATATTGCCTGCACCTTCAGAGAAGGTCCACAGGGCTACTCTTCTAATGACTAGTACTGGACAAACAAACATATTGCCGCAGTAAACTCTTTTCCAAAAACTTTTACCCTCTACAAAAACTCTTGATTTTTTTCCTCCCAACTGCTAAATGCAATATCATACCATTCTCTGTTGATTCCACCATGCCTTGTTTCACTTGGGAAACTTTCAGAATTGAAACTGTGGTCAAAGCACCAAATAGATTTTTGTGCCCGTAAGCCTTCCAAATGATGAATTACAATGGTTAAGGTCTTTTAAGTCCACCACATTGTTGAACCTGAGCCCAAACTTAACAGGATGTCTGAGGATATCGCAGCCATGCCCTCTTTTGATTCCACAGCAAGTGCTTTTAATCATTTGTGAACAAATGATATATTTGATAATCTATTAGTTATTTTCCTTCTGTGAGTGTATGCAGGAGCAAGACTTCACAACGCTCAGCTGATCAGAGGCCTGAGGTGACCTCACTGGTTGTCAGTTTGCTCAGCTTTCAGTTGTAGCTCAGCTCTCAGGCTTATCAGTCTTGTTCCCCATTGTAGTCTCAGGCCATAGCCTAGTGAGTGCCAGGCACTGAGTAGTTAGATGTTTCGAACAGGGACACTAGAAAGCACACTATGTCTCAAAGGCTTTTGCCTATCCATTCCCAGTCCTTACGTCACTACATTTGTTTAAAGAACAGAGTCATAACCTCTTGCAAGGTTATGATGTGTGTAACCAAATCCTCCTCTGGAGTGATGAAATGCACCATGTCAACTTTTCTGGCTAAGCTTGATTCTCAGTATCATTCTTAACACAGGCTTAAGAGAACCACTTACCAATTAGTGGACACAAGAGAGAAAGATAATTTGCTATTGCTACTTGAGAAGGAACATGGCATTTTCACTGCTAGCTAGAGAAAAAGCACTAGAAGGATTCCCAAGAAAAACTATCTCCAAAGCTAAATGCTGTCTCATGTAAATTTCTGTATCTCTTTTCCCAACCCATTTTGGACACACATGTATGTGTGAATATGCATGCTGGAGGTCACATGCCTACACCACCTGGGACATGTGGCCAAATGTCCTGACACTTTCCTCCCTAAGTGTATCCTGCAGAAAGCCAACAGCTGCATTTGATGGCTTGCCCCAACTCCACTCTGCCAGCTCATTGTGGGTGATTATGCTTTCATTCCCACCCTCAGACTGCAAAAGGAGAAAGGTCAGCAAGTCTGGGATTCCTTTTACAGCTGTTGCAGATGTTTATGGAAGAATTTGATATACCAAATATTCCCCAACAGAAAAAAAAAAAAAAAAAAAAGATTTCAGATTCGGATATTGAAAGCTCTAAATTAGCAGCAGTGAGAGAACAGATTTCTCTGTTAACTGACCCAGGACATTAAATTGATTATGTAATTTAATATCTCCATCCTATTTGATAGCTGCCTATTAATACTGCATCCTCCTGCCTTATAGTCAATTGCAAAGTCTAGAAATGGAAGAACATTTTTATTTTGCTCAGAATTTGCAATTTTCTGCCATATGAACTACTAGTAATTTGTAATTTCTTTCTCCAAGGGGATCCTATTATTCCAGGAGAAATGATGTTCACCCATATTTGAAATGTTCAACACTTGGCTGCTTTCTCCTTTTTCATTCTTTGTGGCAGGTGAATATAGAATTTAAGGAGCTTGAACATTTACTCATATTTGGAGTAGTGCTTTCTTACCTTGGGAATGACTGTGCCCTTCCCAGACTCCTTGTCTTTGGTCTCAGGGAAAGTCAGAAAGAGAAGAGGAATTCATAGAGGTCTCCCCATCAACTGCCAAACAGATGGCAAAGAACCCATTAGCTTATTTGAATTTTTCGCTCTGTTTTCCAGATCATTCTTATGCACATTAAATTTAAGAATGACACTAGTGTAAAGATGTGATACTTTGAGATGGACATAGAAAGTGGAGAATAAGAATATTACTCAGGAAGGAAAATTTCCAGATATGTTAACCCACACACACACACACACACACACACACACACATATATATATATACACACACACATGTATATATACATATATATATCAATATATCAATCCATAGATCCCCTTCTCTAGATCATTATCACCCTCAAGTAATTTCCTTTCAAAGAATCAACTCTGGCATATGATTCTGCACCTTCACATGCCTTAGTTCCCTCAAGATCCCTCTAAATTAAACACAAAATTCAAATATATGTAAGACTTTCTGATGATGACCTTTGTTTAGCTGGTTGTACAGTGTATGGGCTGTGGGCATCAAAAAGATATTCTTTCTTGCTTTGCCTTATTCTTATTTCATAAAAACTGTCCTGAAAATCCCTTCTGGTATTTTCCATTGTGGGTATGATCTTTCCACATTCTGTTTTAGCCAGCAATGATGGCTGGGATCTGACCCCAGGGAAAGCTCTCCAAAGAATATACCAGCCAAACTAAGCTTCCAGAATTACCAAAAATGAATCAAAAGAGCCAAGAAGGCCAGGTGCTGGGCAGGAGGATATTTTAGGCTTGGCTGATGGTCCAAATTGGACACTTCCTCTGCCTAATGGAACTATCCATGAAGAAATAGAGACTTGCGTCTGTCCCTCTGTCTTCCCATCTCCCCTCTCCCTGCTTTGCATTCTGTACCCCTCTCATTTCTATGTGAGCTATGTGACATTATGTACTATGGAAAGTACTGCACATAGCACTCAGCTGATGGTGTATAGGAACCGAGTTCTCCTTTAATGGTGCTTCCTTTTCCCTGGCAGTCTATGAACACTGCATTATCTTTAGGGAGGAGAGACCTTGATGAGTTATACATGGATCTAGGAACTGAATAGCCCCAAATTTATCAAGCTCAGGGATTAAAGACACAAATAGCTTATGTACTTATCAGTGATGATCACTCAGGAAAGGCATGGCTACTCTGCATTCTCCTTGTACTGACAGCTCTTCCAGAGATGGTAAGAATTCTCCTATATTTTCTGAGCCCCATCAATTTATCCCAACAGTATGCTGTCCATGGCTGCCTTTCTCTCCATGTCCACAATCACAACTTCAGCTCAGGTCCTCCTTAACTCTAACAGTCTTCATATTTCTTACTTGCTAAAATGAAAATGGATGCTACACTTGCCTCTCTGCCTGTGGACAGGCCCACCCAGCCTGCTCTCCTGCCAGTGTATCACAGTTTTATCATATTCAGCCTGAACACCTTGGATGGCTTTCCTGTGCTTCAAAGGAAAAACTCTTAGACCGTTATTGTTTCAAAATATGTTTTCAAATGAATCTCCTAAAATCCTCTGCATGCTCCATATTTCTGCGTATTCAATGCCCCAGCCTCCCCTGAAACTCTTCACATTTTCATAGTCCGTTCTCTCTTAAATGAACTTTACATCCCCCTAAGTATTTTAAAATGTACTTTTAAATACTTTTTAAAATGTACTCTTTAAAGTTGAATTGAAAAATCACTTTTCTGTTAATTTTCTCTGATTTACTTGGTAAATATTAATTATTCCCTGGCATGTACTACTAAAGCATCTATTTGTATATCAACATGGGTTTGTCTTATGATCAGCTGGTTACCTGTCAGTCCACTAGACTGTAAGCTCCTACAGGTCAGGGATGAGCTTAGTCACTCTTGTGTAAGCAGTAATCTCCAACGCAGTTCTTGTTCATGGAACAGCTCAATATATGTTGGTTTATAATAAAAGAATGAGTCAGATTCAAAGTAGGCAGATTCTCTACTGCCTGCATAATTGAGTTGTAATTTTCCACTTTTGCTGAAAGCCTGTAGGATAGGAAAAGGAAAAGAAGCCCAGGATGGATGGCAGTGGAAATTTCTGAAAGACACATGCCCTTCAAGAACTAACTTCATCACTCCCCACAAGATCTACACAAAGACCTTTCTCTGTTGTCCCTCTCACCTCCTTCTAGCTTGTGGATTTCTTTCATATTCTTATCTCGGTTGCACATGGCTTCTTGGCAGTGGTTTTATTAAAATGTATTGGAGGCAGTTGCTGGTCCATTGGCACTTTCTTGCATCCAGCTGTGTCAGATGAGCACTGAGAGACTTTTATTTTTCTCAATTAAGAAAAGTTGTAGCTCTGAAGATAACTGAGAGACTTCAGGTTCTACCCACCACAGTAAAAATGACATAGTTGCTACACCTTGGTGGCTCATAGTGATGTAGTTACATCAGCCTAAGCCAGGGAAATTTCTCCTGCAGCAAATCCCTCTGGTGAACCATAGCAGGTTCTAGGCCCTAAAAATCAGCGACAACATTCCCATTCAAAGGTGAAGTAAAAAAAGCAGCAAATTGAAAGATCTGGGAGCAAAATAACTGTAATGGGCAGATATTGCTAATTATAACTTTTATCATGCCCTAGGAGGGGGAGTGGTCCAAAATATACCCACTTCTTGCTTTTTGGGGGCATCTTGAGGGATTGGGTACTAGAGTTTGGGGCAAAAACTGAGAAAGCTCAAAAACTGCATAGTAAAATGAAAAAAAAAAAGGTATCATATAGCAATCCATAAGGGAAATAGAGAAAAAGAACAAAGGGAAGGGAGTTAGCATGTGGTAGAAGACCATGTTTTCTGTCATGTGAGAACATGTCTTATAGACATATATTCCTCACCCCAGGACAGAAACGAAGGCATTAGAGTTACTATGTACAGATACTGCAGCCTGAGAGAAGTTAGGAGCCAGGACAAATCTTGCCTCAAACTTGCCAAGAACCTTGAACCCACCCAAATAAAAATATTTCCTTAATCTGATAAAAAAGATGGACTTATAAATCAATGCTAGTATTTGTGAAGCATGGAACAATGCAATAATTTATGTCATGTACAAGGGAAAAAAATGGAAAACATGACATTCTTTCAGTTTAGTTATGACTTCCTTTGTCCTGAAATGTTATATGTGTTGATTATATTGTAATATTTCTCTTGAAATGGGAAGTATATGTTTCAGAAACTGAGTGAAAGGAAGAATTGCAATTGGATGTAACGCTAGTCAATCATCTCAACATTTAAAGATGGAGTCCACTCACTTAGGAAATGGAACTTTCTCTGGGAAGCAATGATCCTATATTGCTCATGGCTTTGTTGTTAACTTTCTTTTCTTTTTTTTTTCTTTCTATTTTTCATCTTCCCCTCCTAATACAGTGGAGGTAAATCCCTGTTGTCTGAATTTTTGAAACATAGTTACCTCCCTAGTAGAAGCCCAGCAAATCAGGATGGGAAATATATCATAGATAGTGCCTGGAATCAAAATAAAAGCAACATATCTAAGAGCCTATCTGTTGGAGGTGAAACATTTGCACACACCATTAAGGGCAACTAGCTCAATCAGGGCCTGGTAGGGAGGGAGTTTCCTTTGTTAAGTTGCATAAACACTCCTCTCCAGAAGGCCTCAGAGGCTTTAGCTTTTGGGACTCAACAGACTTTATAAGGAAGCCTTTGTGTTCTGTTATATCCTGGGGTTTTTATCAAGCAATCTTGAGACTGAGGGAAAAGAGCCACCAGGTGACATACAAGTTACACAGAAAGCTTATGAGAGCATGAAGAAGAGGCCATGATGGCTGAAAAAGGGAAAAATAGGGCAGATTGCATCATCCGCCAGCAATACGGATGAGAATATGATAGCTAAAGGGGAGGGTCAGAACTAGAAGATGATAGGATTTGGGAAGAGATTTGAAGGTCAGGAGTAAAATGGTGACACATCCTTCATTTCTTTAGACCTCTCCGGCCCTTAAGAAAGTTGAGTAGTTGTGTCCCAAGTCCCTTCACAATTTGGTTGTCGGTTCCATCAAGTCCCATGCCCTCTCTTTTCCCTGCAAACCTTGGATGAAAGCCTCCAAGGTGGCGCAGTCAGCCTTCCTGCAGGCGGAATACTGATGGAAGGTAAAATTGAGACTCTGTACTGATTGAGCTTGCAGAGGGTGGACTTTGCAGCAGCTGTCGCTCCTCAGTAGTGGGGGACTGGGCACAAACGTCCTTGGGAGGCAGATACTGGCTATAAAACTCCAGCATAGCTGAGGTGATGGCATGGTGGCACCTCTGATTGACAGCTGTCCCTCTTTCTGTTGTGGGGAGCAGATACCATTCCCTATCCAGATGCCAACTGACTGCTGGACAGTTCTGGGAAGCGACCTTATCACTTTATTTTGGAAGCTGTACTTAGGAAAGTTAGTATTCATACTAAACCAGTGTCTGCACTAACACATATTTGTGTGCATGCATGACACCCTGTGTGACTATCACAAACATGGAACATGCTCTGTGCTTGCTTTGCTTGTGCCTTGCTTGTGCTCACTCTACATCATTGCATTCCACTATCTAGCTGTTTCATTGCCTTCATCGCCTAGTTTTGGGGGGGGGGGTGTTGTTGTGAAGCCTCCTTTCTTCTGCTTTGACCGTCAGACTATGAGTCTTCCCCTTTCCTAAGACACAGCTGACTTTTTTCTCTGGCTCTCCACACTTCTGGCCACCCAGACACATCCCCTTTCCAAACCCCTGCACGGACCACCGAGCAGCACTCTTGGTATGGCTCAAAGTCAGACAGGACTCTGGAGGGTGTTAGGTGACTGGACCAACTGCAAAATGTTGCACTTGGAAGGGTGCTTTTACCACTACAAATGGAAAGGATACCATACAAAAACATTTACAATTTTGAGTCCCAACGGGGGAAATTAAAGAAAAGAAAATCCCACCGTGTCATTAACTACAGATAACACAGTCTCTACCATCAATTACTTTGACCAAGCTCAGAAAATATTTTTGAAATCTTTTTAAAAAAAAAAACACTGGAGTGTATTGAATTATGTTTTTTGAATTTTAGATACCACTTCAAAACCATTTCAGAAACCACCAGATAGGTTAAGACTCCTCAGAGTGCTGACATGTAGTGACAGAAGCAACGTTAGACAAAGAATGTGTTCAAAGCCAATAGCAAAGGGAGGAAGGAGGTGGTTGGAGCAGTCACTCGGCTTAATAGCGAGACTTCTAAAACTTTGCAAAATGGTAGGAATCCTTGGCCTCAGAAAACCCACCCATCACGAGAGGCAGTGATTGAGTCTGGGAGATTTTGACTCAGGAGTCAGGCTGCCAGTTTAGGGTCCCAGCTCTGACACTGCCCAGTGGTGTGGATGGGACAAGTTACTCTATTCCCAAGTCCTCACCTGCACACTGGTGATAATACTGTAATGATACGGGCTACATCACACCATGAACTAGGATCAGATGACATAATAAGGTAGATGACTTGATACAAAGTAAATATTAGGAAGGTCAGACAAGTAAGGTAAGGGGGGAACTGTGGGGGTGGAAGCAGAGTCCCCACAATGCAATTGTGACTGGAGAGAGAATCAGGAAGTGGCCCCAGATGTTAAGGTTTTAATTTCTTCTTCCTCATTCCCTTTTATGATCCTCTCCAGTAGCAACTTCTAGCACCCCCATGACCCTCACAGAAAAGGGCAGTCACATAACACAGGTTGAAGCAGTTTTCTGCTCTCAGAAACTCCAAGAAGTATGTCTTTCTTCTCAGACCTTTCTCTGACAGTCTGTCTCCTACAAGGAGAAATTGCCTCTGCTTGTGCAGAATTAGAGAAGGTCCAGTTTTCTGTGCCTCCAGGAACAGAACACAGGCAAACTGTCACTAGGGCAAAATGGCTGTTAGGAGCCCATTCCAGACAAGAGCATCTGAGTGCAGAGCTGCGGATTTTGTCCCAGTCTCTGGGAATGTTAGCGTCTATGAAAGGCACATAGGATGGCAGAACACCTTAGATTAGTGCTGGAGGTGCCTTGCCCATGAGTACTACACAGCCAGGACCCACTGCATGGTAGGAAAGTCCTGGATTTTCATGACAGACATGCCTGTGCTGGAATCTAGCTCTGCTTGTTTGTACCCTGAGGAAAGTTTCTTGCACCTTGAAGCATTGGCTTCTAAAACAAACACACATAATAGTAGCATCTGCCACACAGAGCTGACCAAAGACTTATATGAGATCACATCAGAAAACCCTCTAGTTCCGTACCTGGCATTTAGTTCTGTCGTTTCCTTTATTTCCAAAACTTGTTACTGCTGGTTCCATCCTCTGCTCATGCCGGCCATCTTCATGGCCCATTCTGGCCTGGGCTCAATCACTCTGATGAAGTTTTCTGACTCGCTAGTTCTTTTCAGGTCCAGGTGAGAGCACTGGAACCAACTTGATTTGGGCATCTAAGAATCAGTTCCTGACAAAATTATCCATTACGAAAGAGTAAGACTGTAACTATCTACATATTTACACCACCCCAGTGTTATGGCAAAATCGTCACCAGGGCCCTCATGCTGCAGAGATTGTGGCAGCCATTTGGATGGTGAATGGGTCCATTTCTCTCTCTTGTATTAAATACCCACATGCAGTAATCCTCATTATGGGCTAACGGCTTGGAAAATGTTATTATTAAATCAAAGCCATTTGCAGTAAGGAGAAAAATTCATCTGTAACTATAAACTCTGTTGCTCATAGCTGGGCATTAAGAAAACAAATGGTAAACAAGTACCTTTGAGCCTAGCACTTCCAAGTGAAATCACCTGGCAGCCCCTCCAGGTGTGGGGCAGGGCATGACCCAGGAGGAAATTCCAGGGATAGGGACGGTTTCTCAGGATAGCTGACTCCACCCCAAGTCTCCGGCATTGGCATTGGCACAGACAGACACACAGTGGCCCAACTATGACTTAGATAACCCTGCTGCTTGTCCTGTTTGTTTTCTAAAAATGGCATCAGTTAGGGGGAACTTTTGTGGGAGGCTGTATCTTATTATAAAAGCATGAGCACCGCCTGTGGAGTGAGACCCACCTGGGTGGTGATCCCAGCTGTACCACTTACGAGAAAAACAGTGGATAAGCAGCTGAAAGTCTTCACGTTTACTCCTCTGGCTTGGGAGAAGGTCATGGAATTGTTGGATCGGAACCTTTTATCAGCTTCAGAGCCATGCAGTGAGTTTCAGATTTTGGATCTTAGAAGGAGTCAGTGCCTTGTTGTGGCTGTACCCGCAGTATTCTCATACCTGCTCCTTGGATCTTGGCTCTGACTGAGGTTGAGGAGGCTCACGGGAAACACCCCCTCCTCCTCTGTTGCCCCGTGGCCTAGGGGAGCCAAGACTGGTCACTGCTGTGCTCTTGGCATCATAAGGAAGGCTGATAATTGAAACCTGGGGAGTAATAGGAGCACTGGTGCCCTTCCTCGAACCCTATCTACCTATCTATCTATCTATCTATCTATCTATCTATCTATCTATCATCAATCTAATATCCCCTTTTAAACTGTCTAATTTAATTCTTTCAAAAGATTTGTTACCTGACTCCTATAGCCCAGATGTGTGCACCTGGGGCTGATGGACCTCATTTGTTTGTTTGTCCTAAGGAAACAGAGCCATAGGATGCAGCCTCTCCACCTTGGTGCTGTGAAGTGAAGCCAGCTGTTAGCACCATGCATTCTGGGACAGTGTAACTAATGCTACAAGCCCTGGCTGCACCTCTCCACTAGCGCTCCATATTCCCTTCCTCCATTCTCTGTTCTCTCCTAGTTTCCATTTCTCCGCAGATTTGGCTCTGCCGCCCAGTTTACACTGTTCCTTGTCCTTCAGGAGCCCTCTCATGCCTCCCACTGATCAATTTCCAAGTCAGTGCTCTCTTTCCTAATGAAATGCTTGCTATTATTCTTGTAGCACTAAAATCCACAGTACCTCCCTGCCCCATGCTATCCCTGTCTTAGCTCCAGGGTTTGACCACCTCTAGGCTTTTTCTTTGCCACAAGTCCTCATGGACAATGGGAGCTGTGAAAGGAGGCAAAGCAGAAGTTTCTGGTCAGGAACCCAGAAGAGGCTTCTGGTCTTTGCATGTTGGTGACGTAATAGAATCACAAGCAGTGGAGTCAGGAGCAATGGCTCACAAGGTGTATAATGAAGAAAAAGAACCTTAGAACTGAAACCCAGAGGTTATCACTATCTGCTTAATACCCTTGCTCTACAGGCCAGAGAAGTTACTGAGACGAGTTGTATAGCTTGTTAAAAGCAGTACTCCGGTTCCCCAGTCCAGTATTTTTTCAACTAAAATAAAATCTTTCAGCACTAAAATATAATCTCTACCTACCTAAGACAAAAGGCTTGTAATGGCTAAACTCCATTCCTGGTAACCTCAGGGGGTCATCAGCTACAAGACTGGTCTCAAGAGCCCCTGTTTAAATGGAATTAAACATCAGAGTTGGAAGGGCTTTAGAGACCTTTACCTTAGTGATAACACTAATGGCCTAGGAAGTGAGGGGGAACCTTTTGGAGCTTTTGGTGATAACAAACAGCTGGCTGCAGTACGCATGCTTTAGGTTCGCCATCTTTGGCCTTGGCTGACTTGGAAGATTCAGACATGGATTCTTGACTCAGAAATGTTGACTCACTCTAAGTCACTGCCATGGCTCTGGAATGTGTAAATCATAGTGCTAGTTTTTTCCCTCCTTATTTTCAGAAAGAGAACTGTTAAGCTATTAAAACTGGCACCCTGTTTTAGCTAGAGGGAATAAATCAGAGGGAAAAACATAGCCTAGTTGGATTAAGACATCTCCAGGCCATTTTCACTAAAAACTGAGTATGACATTCCAATTATAAAACACTCAAAATTAAACAAATATCTTAATGTACTCACAAAGATGATGTTGGTAGTTTCTTTACCAAAAAATGTTTTTCTTACTTTTCCTGCAATAGTGGTTCATGGGCTGACTATGAGAGTATACATTAGTAAATACTCATTTCAGTTGTCTTAAGCCATACTCAAGCATGAGTAGAATTGACTGGTACTAGCATTGGACTTTTAAAAAATGAAAAAAAAATATATATCTGAGTCTAGTGAACAGAAAGATCAGTAGTACATGGTTCCCATTCTCCTCAACCTCTTGCCTCTGTCTTAGAACAGATCTGTTCACAGGGTCAAGGTGGAAGATGATACCAGTCTCCTTCCCTACCCCCACTTAACTTGTGTATCCAAGGGGAGCCAGAAGGTTCAAACAGGGGCTCAGAAGAAGGTGCTGGCTAGAGCAGCAACATCACGTAACACAGGGTACAGTCCTGCTCACATGGGAGCAACAATACTCATCATGAGAAATCCTGGCAATATTATCATGTTATTTACTGAGTCTTGTTTTTTATTTTCTTACAATGAATAACCACCTTTCTCGTCCTTCAGTGTCCAAAGTAAATGAGAAATAAGACATAAGAAAGTGACAGATGAAGTCCAAAATGTCAGTTTTTAGTATTGATAAGCTGATTGGCAGCTGTGAGTCTACATCTGTGACCCAAAGAGTGTGTTACCATTCCTTGTCCCATGCTGAAAGTCCCAGTGGAGTGCTAGGGACAGTTTCCCTGAAAAGAAATTCAAATCCATGGAAACAAATGTAGCCAGTGTTGCTATCTCAGACTGGTCCAGGACATTTGATTTTCCAGCATTTTGAGGGGAATATTCTCTTATTTATTAACAATTTTTACTTTTATTAATTTCTCTGTGAATTTTGTTATAATATCTTTCTTTGTGTGTGTGTGTGTTTCTCATATTTACCTTTCAGTGAGTTGGCTTTCTGAGATCAGTATTTTGCAGGCTCATGGAAGAACCCCAGCTAGCAAATTTTTATAGTGAAAGGCTCTCCATCTTTCCCTTCTCATAAAGGTAGTCTGATTCCCTTTAAATAGAATTTAAATAGGGGTATCTTTCTAAAAAATGGGTTCAAGAGGGAGGCTTCTGTTCTCGCCTTGAACACCTGCTCCATAGCCTCCAGTTTTGGCCCCTTGGTATGTTCCGCTTACCATAAGGAAATAATTTAAATATTTCTTTGTGGTTACTTTTTGAAACTTGTTTTTGTGGGTGCTATTTTCATTGTGGTTTCTCCTCAGTATATTTTTTTAACTTATCCAAAGGGGACTTCCGCATAAACTCAGCTATTTTTGTCTGCCTTTGAAAGTGTTTTGGATTCAGCCTCCAAAAGTGGAAGTTTCAATATTTCCTACTTTTTTGTTGTTGATTTCAGGTTTTTTCCAAAAGGAAAGGAAAAGAAAATGACAAATCTATGCAATTTGTTCAAGTTTGTCAACAAATAGCCAAGGACCAGCAGACTCTTGGAGAAAGAGGCTAACACTACAGAGAAAGAAGAAGCAAGGAGAAAAGCATAACTAGCCTTAAGAAAATAAAAATAGAAGGTAGATGAAAAGTTAAATATATTTCCTTAGAGAAATAAGAGAAAATGTCACATCCATGAAATAATGTCTGCATGCTACACATAGAAATAACTAGAGAACTATAAAAAGATATTGAAAATTAAAAATTAATATTGGAAATTTTCAAATATTAGAAGGTGTTAAGTGAAAAGAAATTTCAACCTTGCCGTAAAATGGAATTTTTTTACCTAAAAGGATGGGAAAAATTCAACATACAATCTGGAATGTAAAGCTGAAGAAATTTCTCAAAAGGGAAACAAACAAGAAAGAGCAAAAGGACAGAGAATGAAATTTAAGGAATGAATGAATTTAATTCATTCCTAAAGAATGAATTCAAGGCATAAAGTCAGGAGGTCCCATGACTGACTAATGGACTTTCTAGAAAGAGAAGCAAAAAAAGAACACATGAAGAGACACGGTTATAAATGATACAAGGAAAGCACTACAGAGCCAAAGCTCATGAACTGTGTTGGAGCACCGTGCACCTGGAAACGACAGTACTGACCCCGAGGTAGCCTCTTCCCAAACTGCAATGCCAGGGAGAAGGAAACCATCTGAAAAGTCTGAGTGCAGAAAAAAAAACAAAAACAGTTTGCACAAAAAAGATAAAAAATTCAAAATGGCATTTGACTTCTCAAGTGCAACATTGGAAGCAGGGAGATAACAGAACAATGTCTTCCAGATTCTAAAGGAGAGTATTTTTTCAATTGAAGATTACACCATTTAATTCTCAACTCCGAGAGTAAATAAAAATGTTCTCAGGCAAAATATTTTTTAAATGTTTCACCCATGTGTACCTTTTCCTAGGAAGCTGCTGGGAGAGATATGTCCTATCCGAGGGAGACTTGGCACTCAAGGGAACAGCAGTTTCTCCAGAGGACAGTGAAGGAAAGCTGGCAGGTATTAGCCAGGGAGCAAGCAGGAGGCTGAGGCAGAGCACGAGGGCAAGATGTGAGTCTGGCCATTTGTCTTCTGTCCTGGTGAGAAGTGCTTTATCCCTTGGCAGAGACTGCTGATGGCTTAGTTCTGGAAACAGAAGCAAATCAATGCCTCCACTCAACTCTCTTGCCAAAGCAATGATTAATTCTGGGGAAAACAGAAATGTTTCAACAAAAAAATGTAATCGTAATATATATGGCTCCATGTAAAATGAATCTATAGTCAAAATAATGTTAACACTGAGCTTCAATTTAAATAAAATTCTTGGCTGGGCATGGTGGTGCATGCCTATAGTCCCAGCGCTTGAGAAGCTGAGGCAGAGGATCTTCCAGAGTTTGTGGCCAGTCTGAGCTGCATAGTGAGTTCAAGGCCAGCCTGGACTGAACATTTTTTGAGACCCTATCTCAAAAAAGGAACTTCTTAATTCACTCACCACTGGTCATGTACCATTCTCTAGCCCTTGCTCTACTTTAAAAAAACAAACAAACTATACCTGCTATGTTATCTGCTTGGAAGAGTACATCTATATTCATTTCTCTGTCTGTCTCTCTCATTAAAATATACACTCCACCAAGGCAATGGTGTGATCTATTTTGGACACTACTGTCTCCATCCTCATGGTACCTAGAATAGTACATCTCAATAAATTTTCTTACATATATTAATATTTAAATGCAGCAGTAGCAGAACAGTGAGTATTTATGTGTGCATGTGTGTGTGTACTGCTACAATCCTAGATCTCTGCTCACATTGTGCTCAGTAGATAATATTCTGAAATTTAAAAAAAAAATCAGAGCAGAAAACCAATGCTACATAGCAATTGAAGATGAAGAACAGAAAACTTAAAAGAAATAGAAGTGAAGAGCACAAGTGGAAAGCTTGAGACAAAGACTGCT